CCCCCGGGGGCGTGCTCGAAGCCCCTCTTCCCCCCGCCAAGCTGTGCCTATGGGAGGGTAGCTTGAATTTAAATATATATGTGTGTGCGTATGTATATATATATATAATATTTTTTTTTTTTTTAAGGTACGTTTCCACTTGGTGGTTGTGCAGGAACGCCTGAAACACAAAAGCCAGAAAGCACCGGCCGGGAGGGAGCCAACGCGCTTCCTGCGCTTTGCCTTGCCCGCGGGGATCACACAGGGAGAAACTGCTTTGCTCCCGCAGCGGCTGTCGAAACAAAAAAGCAGCGAGGATCTTGCTAACGGTTGGGGGCGGGGAGGGGGGCTGAGAGCCTCCCTCAGTGACCCGTGATTGATGGGAATCCTGCCACATAATTTACACTACGGAGAACTAGAAGGGGAACTATTTCTTTGTTACATGCACTCTGTTTCAAAGCAAAATCTCAAACGTTTCTCCGCTCACAGTTTCCTAAAGACTCAGTAACCACTCTGCCATGTCCGGGAAAGCGTCAGTATTCTTTTATCCCCGTTTCTGTAAACCCTTCCCATTATCATTACTCGAAGCCAAAGTACTAGCAGATCTGTCTGGGAGTGGCACCTACTTTTAAAGAGGCAGATAGGATCATTTTGAGGTCCTGAGACCTCTTATCCAAACTGATGAGCCCCCTGCTTTTGTTAGAGGATGATTCTACCAGCTGCATGTTTTACAGAGGATGTTTGCAGAACTGCATTTGCACTTTCAGCCTTCAGCGTTTATCTGTTTGCTAGTCTTGATCCACGCAGTACGCAATAATGACGATCTCAGCCTTCGCTTACTGTGGATTTTGACCCCTTTCAGTTATCACTTAGCAATGTGAGCTATGATTTACGTCGTTTGTCCTTATTCAACATGCCCCCTTTGATAATGAAGTGCCTGCAAAGACTTGGTATTTCAGCTGTCCATCATAGGGAGGCACGTGGAAGAACTGTTCCTTCCTACCTGTAGGCAACCCAGAATTGCATCTCTCTCTCCTCTTCCCTTTGAATTAATAAGTTATATGCCCTCCTAAACATCATTTTACTTTTCAGCTTCCTATAGTGCTCTATGGAAAGCAGATGAGAACTGAACCAGTTTCCCCTCTACAAATACCAAGGAAAAAAGGACACGAGTCCTCTGTCACGATCACTTTTCTGCAGGTTGCAGAATAACAAGCTGAACTTTGCTAGACCCAAGCAGGAGTTTGCTGAGAGACTGGTTACTTTCTCGACTTTGCACTGATAGCTAGGTTGCTTTATTTAGTTTAGTTTGTTTATTAACTTGTATTTATGTGCTCATTCAGCTCTAGGTCAGATTACTAGAGTAAAGTCATCTCCGACTCTCATTCAAAACTAATTGCTCTTACTGAGGAGAAGCACCATCTTATCCTCTTATTGTAGGCTTCTCCACTGCAGACAGGATTGCTTGGGTGTCTTCAGAAAGTTGGAAATCCAGGATATGGGCTGCATCAGTCTCCCTGAAGGATGCCCGAGATAGGATGCTCCAAAAGTAACCCAAGATTTAACACAACAGTCCAGGTCTTTTTTCTTGGGTAGAGTGTGGTTTTATATTGCTTTGTTCTAGCTGTCTCCTGTGCAGGACAGTATTTTTTTTTTGTTGTTGCACAGTTTAATGCACAGATATAGCAATCTCAACAAGATCAGTAATAAACATAGCATTAAACATGAGCCTGCAGCACAACACATGAAATTGCAGGTATAAAAATCTAATAAACTCACTCTTCTTCCTGGAGCACTTCTAAGGTTAAACCATCACTCCTGCTTTTTTATTTACAGCTCCCACAGACACTCCTCAAGGAGTTTCATATGGGTAGTGGTTTCTTCTTCTAAGACAGATCTTTGGGCCTAACATCATCCCAACAAGGCCGCCTAGCTCCTTTGCAGTGCCAGCAGACTTCGCTTGTGCCAAGTGTGTGTGGGCTCTGCTAAGTTATGTTATGTCCCTGAGACTGCACTTTTCTCCATCTAAGTTCCAGTTTTTCCCTCCAAGCTGGCCTAGCTTTAGACAAAGCATGCTGCCCTCAGGTAGCTTCTGTTATTCAGTTGGGCCCCCCAGGTCATGTCTCTCATCTCAAGGCACTGGTAACTTTTAGAAGATTTTACCAGTGAAAGTAAGCTGACAGTTGGTTCACTGGACAACAATGTCAAGCGTAATACAAAATTTCAGATCTTGATTGCAGGATCTTAATTTGCAACAAGACCCTTTTACTTCTGCCCAATGGCAATACCTTACTCCACTCCAGGAGGGAGACTGGATACTCCCTTTACAGCTGATTTTTCATTTGACTTCTTTCACTCTTCCTTTACAGTTATGCCTTAAGTGGACAACAACACAGCCAAGTCCGCTGTCAGCCATTTCCTTCCTCCATCCAGGTATAAATAACTGTTCACAGGGAAAAGCAACGGGGAGCCACTGCCTTTGCCTGTGACTGCAGCAAGCCTGCCCAGATGAGCAGTGCCAGGCTGCATTTTACTGCCTTACAGCACCCAGCAGTATGTTGTGCTGCCAGGGTAAGAGCCTACCCAGTCTTCTTGTTTGTGCCTTGGATTCTTCCCATATCGGGTCGAGCAAAGTGGGATGGCATCTCCACATACACCATGCCAGCACTGAGGTGTTCCCTCAACATCCACACTTCCCTTTTCTTCATACCACAGATTCCTTTTCATGCTACTTGTCTTTTCCAGGATCTAGCCATTTTTGCCTTCTTTTCTCCATCTACACACACTCTGAACAGGTGCCTCTCCCCAACGCCCCGAGAGGCCGCCTGGCTCCAGAGGCAGGCCAAACAGCTCTTCTCTACCCACCGTTGAAATTTCACAGCAGCTGCAGGTGGGTCCATGAAGGAGATATGGAATTTCTTGCAGAGTGAGAGGATAATGAACATGAGGCTCCAAAGCAGCATAAGCTGCTGCGCATATTCACTGGCCAACCAAATGCTGTGGAAAAGCATTTCTTTGGCCTGGAAAACAGCAGTGCATGGTAGGATTGTGCTGGGAGGCACATCTGGGATGATCAGAGGTAGCATCAGAGCAGGATTATGAGTATTTTCTCCTTTCACCATCAAAGCGCATTAAAGCTCCACAAGAGGTGACGGGTGTCCCCCATTCAAAGCAAACTAACAGTAATAGCAGGGTTTATTAGGTTTGTCCCTTGGACAGCAGGATTCAAAGCAGTGTCAGAGCAGTGGGAGCTTCCTACTTCTTCCCCCTGGGAACTCTCCTGGGAACAGGGATATGGTGGGATTGAGAAAAGCACAAAAAACCCAACCTTATCCTGTAGACCAGATCTGCCATGGGACCTTTTCAATTTACTCTGCTCTCCTGTGGCAATAGCCTTGTCCGATTACCAGCTGGATTTTTAGCTGTGTGACACAGCAGAGGAAGATTTTTTGGCTTGGCGGGTTTGTTCTTCCCTAGATAGTTGTTTCTTCAGTTGTAGTGAGTATTTTCTGCAGTATCAAGTTGTTTCAGCTTTCCCTCTGCTTAATCTCACAGTGAGTCTTTGTTTTTCAAAAATCTGTTAGTTTAAACTGGGTCAAATGCTAACAAGCGTGTCAGTCCCCCCTGCCCTTAGGATCTGCCATAAAAGATCAGACTACAGGTCTGTCAAGCTCTTTCTCCTACTTCTGCAAGGAGCCAATGTCTGATGTGTCAGAGAGGTGGAAAAATCCTGCTATTTAAAGGTTACGTTGCTTCGCCTTGCCATGACTCTGCTGCTTCATATTTTTATTTTCTTCAAAATTCTTCAATGAATTGGAAATTGTGCTGCTGGTGATGGATTGACCAAGTCCTTAACACAGCTCTACACTTTCCTGTAGAAGAATTTTACCAGCTGCCAAGCCACATTGATTTTCCATCGAAAGCCCTATTTTGCTCCGGTACCTATGTAGTCATGAGGTCCTGTAGGGTGGAACAGAGAGCCAAAATAAGTAAGATGCAAAGTGAATGTGCATAACACTCAGGATAACAATTTTCTACTTTGGACTTACTTTCAGCTGAGCAGTTCAAAGTGCTGTGACCTACTTCAGAAGAAGCTAAAACAGGTAGCTGAAAGCAATGGGCAGCTTATAAGGGCAGACTTTAAGACTGAAAGTCTTTAAGTCATTCTATGCAGAAAAAAAGGCATGAAGCAGGAGGAGGAAAGAAACAAGAACAGCACAAGAGTTTCTAGCAAGGTTCATGAAGAAAGCGCTTTTTATTCTCTGAGCAGTAGCTCATGCAAGAAAGCTTCTTAAAGTATTGCAAAGGTATTGGCTGCCTTAGGGTTTAAAACCAAACAAACCAGATCACTAGCCATAAGACAAGGAACATTTCCTCCAGCACAATTCATTGTTACTTAGAAAGCAGATACTGCAGGCACATATTTTAATATTAAATCAAATTATAATACCATTAAAGCAAGTAGCTCATCTTCTATACTGGCCTCATATCTATAAAGATTAAGCTTGAATAAAAGCACATGGCTTTCCTCTGTCTCATTGTGCAATAATTATTCCTACAGCAGCATTATAGATAACAAAGTAAAAGATGACTACTTTCCTGCATCCTCTGTCATAGGATCTCTGAAGCTTCTGTGATTTAAAATTTAGATACAAAATCTCTAATTCCCTATTACAGTTCATTGCATTTTATTCATTTTATGTACATCCATCATAGGCATGCAATTACATTGCAGACACATATAGACACATGCCACTCCTATCTGCTTTCAAAGAGGATCTTTGGGGAGAGGTTTCACAAGGCAACTGTAGTGATCTAACAGC